CAGTTGCTGAAAAGTGCCTACAGGTATATTTTTTTCTGTTGTTTTTTTGTTTGACATCACATCTTTAATTGACTCTGTTGTGAATGCCATTCACATGCTTCAAGTGACTGTTCGAACTTACAAATGTGAATGCAAGCGATGTGGAATGATGACGTTATAAGAAAGAATTTTTGATAAAGTTGTTTTTGTACTGCGGAATGAACGTTGAAAGAAGGGGATTGAAAACGACAGTGATTTGTCATTGGTATTTGTACGGTGTTAGTATATGGATATTTGAACGAACTTTTTTATGGGTTGGGATGAGAAGAAGGATTGCTGCAATTCAAGCAGCAGTCAGCGTGAGGGTCGGTCGAACTTTAAGAATGGTTATTTTGCAGATTGATTTGGATTATTTCGATTATCCATCCCTTCTGTCAGCCAAAGATATCGCCGTCTTCGGGACATTCTGTGCGTTGGCCACATTCGAACGTAGTGAGCTGAAAGAAAAAGTGCTCGGAAGTGTTCTCTTTCGGAAATTTCTCGAATCTGAACCAAAATTGGTGGAGCTGTTGCAAAAGTTTTGTCGAAGTGAATTTGGTACATGTCTTGATATCATGGAAGAGGTCAATTTCCATACGCTCTAATTGGATCATTACATATGCATTTGAGAAAAGTATTTCCAAAACGCATCTCAGATTGAACTAGCAAGAAGAACTGAGATTTCTTTTACTTCAGATTTCCACTCAGTCAGAATTTCAGTGCCTAGAAAATTGCACGCAATTCATCTTTCTGTTATGCGAAATGTGTGCGCTGCATAATTTCCATCAACTTCATAGAAAGAAGTGGTGATTTTGGATATTGAATGTCGTTTGATGATTCCAGATGCGTGATCAACTCCTACTTAATATGTATTTATCGGCACACGTTAAAGAGATTTACTATTTAATAAGGCGTTGTGCGGTTGTGCAGTATTTTACACCTTATCAGGCGGCTGATATTCGTCGAATGGCTGATGTATTTCGTGTGAGCGTTAATGAGGTAAGCAATCGTTTTTCAATATGCGTGTCGTTGAAATCATCCGTATGAATTCTCATATCCAGATCCAATTTTGTTCTAAATAGTCCGAGTCGAGTTATCTTGCAGTGAATATTGCAATTTTGAACACTTCGATGGCGAAACAAAATAATTGAAGTGTAACTTTCAGCTGGAGGATGAATTGGTGAAATTGATCGAAAATGATGATATTAGTGCACGAATTGATTCATTCAACAAAGTGCTTTATGCGAACAAACGTGATCAACGCTCTGTAACGTATAAAGAGTAAGAAACGACATTCTCCTTCTGTATGATAGTAATAATGATGACAGTAACAGTAAGGATTGTGATAATCGGCAGATTGTATTCGATCATATCATTTATGTGATAATACTTTAGAATAGTTTCAATATCGTCATGATATTGAAANCTGTACAACAAAGAGTAACATGGGGATCGGTTGACCTGCGCCCACGTAGAGAGCGAAGACAGGTCGCAAGGTAATCGCAAGGTAAACTTTAGAATACTGGATGTGGAAGAGTCGCTGAATGAACGAGTTAATGCGATCATATTTCGTGCAACACTGCACGATGCACAGATTTGTGTGGGATATTTGGATGCGAGTGGAAGGGGAGGTCGTAGACGTACAACAGCGCATAATGCGCATTCGATGATCAACGAAATCGGTTCAGTTTTAGTTTTCGTTTTCTGCTTTGCTTGCTTTCATTCTTCAATGTGCCAGATGTTATAGCAGTGTTCGTTTGTTTGTTTGGATGCAATTTTAATGGTTCAATCAATGAATAGCTCTATTTTGGTGTTCAGGTGGAGTGACCGATGGTTCGAGTTGTTCATCGCCATCGTCTTCATCGACGATGCCATCGCAAGTGAGCACAAGTCGAAATATGCTATCACGATTGTTCGGCACAGGTGGTGGTCGTGTTGCTGCTGCTGGTGGTGGTGCTATTGGGAACATGTCGCAGTCAGCTGAACCCGATAGCTCAAATGAGGTTAGTTCGCTGGCTTTTGTACATTTATTTGCAATAGTCCGTTCAAATTATGATGAGTTCAAATGTCAACGAACTGAACACAAGATAGACGAATCAAATCAACGAATACATGGATGTGAAACGTTTCTT